TCTCGAAAACAGCACGTAGACGCGGCTCAGAAGGGAAATCGGTCTGTAGTTCTTCAAGAGAGCGTTGTCGCCTTTCTTGAAGAACAAGACCACCGCACTTCTGCTCCACGCCTCCGGTGTAATGCCACCATGGAGGACGGAATTAAAGAGCTTCTGAAGGACTTCAAGTACCGGTTTTCCACCCGCTTTCAGAAGCTCCGCTGTAATTCCATCCTGGCCTGGGGCCTTGCCGTTTTTAAGGTGCTGGAGAGCCATTCTAATCTCGCTCAGACTGACGTCCGGGATATCATCGGAATAATGTCGGATAAGACTCGCTCTTGGATCGTTACTCACACTTGCGTGTGGCTCCAACGATGACGTGTACAGCTGCCCATAGAACCTCTCAATCTCACTCAAAATCTCAGGTGCCCCGGAAACGATGCTGCCACATTCGGTCTTCAGCTTTGACAGTTGGCTCTTTCTGGCAGACAGATCTCTGGCAAAGACTTTGGAGCCTTGGTTCCGCTCGATCGCTTCTTCAATACGAGCTGTATTGAAGTTGCGTAAGTCCCGCCGCATGCATTTGGAGATCTGTCTGTTCAGTTGCCTGTATGCTGTCAAATCTGTTGAAGAATGTAGCCTCATCTCTCGTCTAACAGCCATGAGATTAAGAGTGTGATCGGAGAGTTTTTGTGTTCTTCTGCGGCGGGTCTTGCAGAACTTAGCTCCGACCGCATGGACAGTTTCCACGAGCTTGTCATTCAAATCGTCCACTTCATTGCAGTCTTCTAGGCACTGAAAACGGTTTTGCAACTCGAGCTGAAAGGTTTCGGGACTTTGGATTAGAGCACGAGGGGGACGGAGCGTTGACTTCATTAGACGAGACCTCTCCAACTTAACGTTTAGGTTCAGTGTGCCTCTAACCATTCGGTGATCGCTGCCGGTTTTCACCCTCGCGATCACTGAGACATCACTGAACAGTTGTCGTCTGGTCGTCATAATGAAGTCAATCTCATTTTTTGTCGAACCGTCGGGGCTCGACCAGGTCCACTTCCTGTGGGGCCGCTTCTGGAAGAAAGAGTTCATCATAAAGAGTCCCTCTTTCTCCATGAAGTCGGCCAACTGCTGGCCCCTTGGGTTCCGTTGCCCTATTCCAAATTTCCCCACTTTCACCTCACCGTTCTCTCTTGTGCCTAGTTTTGCATTGAAGTCTCCCATTAACACCGTATATTGGGTTTTGGAGGAATGCATGGCTCTAGAGGTATCCTCATACATTTCCTCTACCTCCTGATCGGGGTGTGCCGAGGTTGGTGCGTAAACCTGTATGACCTTCAGCGAATACCGTTTGGTGATTCTGAGTATAAGGTACGCAACCCTCGTCGACACACTCTCAATCTTTACAACGTTGTTAACGAGAGACTTGTGGACGATAAATCCGACACCTCCTTGGGACAGATGGTCGCCCTCCCGGTGATAGAGCCAGTTGCCGGATTCGAGGATTACCGTGTCCTCCCCCTCTCTTCGGACTTCGGATAATCCTATAATATGCCAGCGTAACTTGTCTATCTCTTCTTCCAGCTCCACAATTTTCTCGTCAGTCCTCAGGGTGCGTGCGTTGTATGTTGCCAGGTCGAGTCGTTGTAGGTGGCAACCGAACCTCCACCGGAGATTCTTAGCACCCCCTGCCCCGCCGTTACCATGGTCGCCACCGTAGCCAGGAATAGCGGGGCCGCCGGGGACTGGGGGCCGTCTCTTCGTAACTTTCATTATGGGGGGGTATATTGCCATAGTTGCCACGCTTGGCGAGCGGGTTGGCAACCGCAGTTTTTTATTGTATTTTGTCGTTACCAGGAAGATGCTGCTGCCCATCTCCTGCCTGTTTCCCTTTGTCGCCTTTTACGACACCCACGGGAAGATATGGGGTAGTGGATATTCTTAACCGCCACTACACGGCAATATATATATATAGGATAGTTATTTATTATTTGCAATCATAGACAAGAGGTTTATAGACCAGTATCTCTACTTTATTACTTATACAACTCTATCATAGCTTGCTACATATTTATTTATCTATGCTCTATCATTTATCGAGCAGCGATAATAGCTAGGGTAGATATAGGAAGAGTAAATGAGAAATTACCGCAAGGATAAGTTTAAACGGTATCATTACATGAACCAACATAAACGGAATAACTTAACGTGACTTGAATTGATGATAATAAAATTTAAAATGTTATACAATTTTTTTTTAATAAGTCGATAATTTTATAATTTAGATAAAGTCAAAGTGACTTGTGATACGTAAAGTAGTTATATATTCTGTGCTTTGGGTGACGGTATAAGATAATTCATCACCCTATTGGGCCTCAGGGTAAGAATCGACTAAGGGGAGTGAGACTCAGAGAGACCTTGTGTCAATCTTTGATCTCCCTCTTTTCTATCTTTTTATTATTATAAGCCAGTGCTTGTTGTGCAAGTGGTGATGAAGCCGTAGATGAAGCCAAGCGTGATGATTAAGGCACATCTACTTTCAAATTGGGGCCCATGTTCAGCAGTGGGATTTACTAATAACAATAATAATAATAATAAGACCAACCAGATGAGTAAACTATATAGTTACCCCACATAATAGTAAACATGCGTGAGAGTTGTGGCACACTCGGTTGGAACGGAGTTCCTTTCGTAGTATATTATTATTGATAAACGTATTACATATATTATTGATTAAGTAACAAATACAAACAAATTAATTACTAGCGTCTATTAAAATGAAGCGTCATTCAAAATAAAATAATATTTCTTTCATGGCAAGATAAGAAAACGTGCGAGAGACATGGATATTATTCCATCTCGCTTCCTTATAGCCGCCGAGGACGTCTACACTACCTCAGAAGGAGTCGTGACGGATAAATCTTACACTTTTTCACGCCTATTCCCCATCCGCCAAATTCGTACCGTCCGATAAGGAACTTCGTTCCAATAATTTAACAACATAGTACAGGTACGACGGCCGTAAATATAATTTGATTAAAACTAGTTAATGGTAATTTTTCACTTTTTGCGTTACAAGATAATTTTACAGTTACAATACTTTGATTAATGAGTTTTGTGCTTAGTTAATATCATAATACACATATGTTAAACGTGCCTTCTAATGGTATGAGTACCCTCAAATTAGGGCAATAGTTGTTTCAACTATCCTGATAGGTTCAAAGACCTCGGTGTTCTCAGAATACATTTAAGTATGTCTTATCTCTTCGTCGTAGTAGTAGGTCGCTCAGCGAGCTATGGAGAGGGCTATGCTCGGAGTTTCTCTGCGTGATAAACTTAGGAATGAGGATATCCGCAGTAGAACCAGAGTAACCGACATAGCCCAACGGATTAGTAAGCTGAAGTGGCAGTGGGCCGGCCATATGGCTCGAAGAACCGACAACCGATGGGGAAGAAAGGTTCTCGAGTGGCGGCCTCGTACCGGTAGGCGAAGTGTAGGGCGTCCGCCCACGAGATGGAGTGACGACCTGGTAAGACATACAGGAAGTCGATGGATGCAGGTGGCTCAGGACCGTGCTTTGTGGCATTCTTTGGGGGAGGCCTATGTTCAGCAGTGGACTTGTGAAGGGCTGTAATGATGATGTCTTATCTTATTTGAAATGAGGCTTTCCTCTCATACTTGCGCATTATTTGGGAACTATTTATTTATTTATTCTTTTTTGTATTCTAATGACTAAGTTGGAATAACTATACTGACCCCCTATACTCTTCACACTGGAACACAGCAGTGCCAGCATTGCTATTTGACGAACGAGCACACAGTCCACCTGATGCTAAATGGTTGCTGTGGCCCATAGATATCTACATCTATCCTCAATAAAGAATCGAAATGCAGATGCGTTGTCACCTGTGAGGACTAAGATAGAATGCCTCTTTTCCAGTAAAAATGCTCTCCGGTTCTCTACACTCACCATACGAAACATAGCAGTGTTAAGTTTCTACATTACGCTGGTATTCTGTGAGAGCGTGGTCTTTCACCGATCGAGCCGACCCATTCGTGCTATAACTATACTCCTAATATAGCTGCAGCATGGCTCTACCACGTAAAAAACCTTAGAAAATGTTCAATTTTATACATAGTAGAGCCACACTGCAACTATATTATAGTTTTAGCACGAATGGATCGGCTCGATTGGGTAAGGACCTCGCTCTCGCAGAATACCAGTGTAATTTTTTTTATAGCAACAGCAGACAAACGAGCACACAGTCCACCTGATGGTAAGTGATTGCTGCAGCCCATAGACATCTACATCAATCCTCGATTACAAATCAAAATGCAGATGCGTTGTCAGCCATGAGGACTAAGATGTAATGCCCCGTTTCCAGTAATAAGGGTCTCCGGTTCTCTACACTCACTATTTAATTCCAGAGGCATTCCACTTATAATCAGGTAGACTGTGCACGTCTATCATCCTTATCTTATAAAAAAAGTTTTCAAACTTTTGCGGACAAAATACAGCCTAAATCACTCCTGGCATTGCGCTCTATCTGTTTGTGAAGTTTTATTACAATCAGTTCAGCTATTTCGGGGATTATTCCGGCAGACAGACGGACAGAGAAACATTTAAAAAATGATTATTGAAGTCTTAATAGCATTCAAACTCCAAAAAACCCCCTCAGCACAATATGAGGCAGTTGTTTTGATATTACAGACAGGCGCTTCAATTTATTTTATATGTGGGTATAGATATAGTGCGATGGGTTTGTTTTTGAAAATGTTTGTGATGAAGTCAATCGATTTCATATTGTAACACTTTCTTGACCAGTATTGACTCATCGCTAACACAAAATTTTTGGCAACAGTAGTCTTAATTTATTCAAATTTATACCACCTCTCCAAAATCACGAGGACCCTAACGTTTCTGATACACTGGCAGATTTGTTGTATACGCATGTAACTAACAACGAAAACAGCAAAACGCAGAGAACACCCTTCTTTTAGCACTTTTAACGTAATTAGCACTCACCACAAACAGAAAGGCGATCGCAAGCCGCATTTCTCTATCGAACTTTCACTGAGAACGCGCTCGGCAAGTGCATGGTGGACACGACCGTTCGCCACCGCGTCTGGTCACCAACTGGAACTGGCGGAAAGCGGCGCTTTCGCAGTGCCCCCGTCAAGGACTGCATCAGATGCACTTGATTTTTAATAGCTATCGAGAACCCTAAAGGAAAAGTAACCGGTACACTTGTCTCTAGTCCGACGAGACAGTCAGTCCATCAGTAATATCGACCGTTGTGTTTAATATGGCGATACCAGATCACGGCACTTTGTAACAGTTTCCCAACGCGGGATCGTTTGTGTCACTTCCGTCGGCAAATCTTGGAAACTATCTGTATTTATGCCATTTCGTCTATATCTGTAAGTTATGATGCCGTTAAGCTTGGTACCATGTTGTCGAAGGGCCCATTTGTTACTGACAATATTGAATTGTTTATGGATGTTCTTAATCGATTCATTTCTTTTTCTTGTTCGTTCGTATAATGTTACCAGATCTTTATAAATATTTATTTCACTATTTAAAAGTAAATATTAAATATATTTGCATGAGAACCTGATTTTAATCGATTTAAAATCATCGCCTTACACGCTTTATTATTTCTACACGGACTGATATATTGACATTTTCTGTGCTTGCTGTATTTAGAGCAGACTGCGCGCTGAATATTGATGGGGTGTTTAGTAAAGATTAAATTACCAGTTTAAACATATACAAAACTCAAAACGTTAACCTGTAGGTTAAGTATTGAGATTCGACCTATAACCATTAGGTATAATGGTTATAAGTCTCTCATAAATTTGATTATAGATGACTTTACGCGGTTATTTGTTGTGAAGAAAGTAATATTTTTTGTTTGTCGGTCAAAAGTTGGATATCAACTACCACAGAACAGAATAATAATTCTACTTCGGCAACTTATGTTAATAGACGGACCCAATAATTTGCTTTAATATAGTGAGCCATTTGCATGGTAACCCTTTTTATCATACCACATTCAGCAGAACGAAATATTAAAACGAAATTAAATATGCTTACTATTTATTAGTTCGATGTAACAAAACGATGACTAAGCAAAATATATATATGTGGTTTTTTAACGTTTTAAGTCAGCGCTTGACTACATGCAATCAATCAATAAAAATAAATAAATCGTTTGTTAAATTGAATTTCTTTCCAAATCAACCATCGTTTCGAAATGAGGTTCCCCTGACCGGAGAAGAAAAGGTGAACGAAACTCCGCAGGTACCTAGGTAACTTCTCATTTGTCATTTATGGAATCTGTTTACTTTCTGTATGTCTGTCTGCCACATTAGTGTCTTTTCTCTGAGAGTGTTTCAGGAAGATGATTGTAAGTTTAAATACTAGTAAAATACAGTTAAGATAGACGTAAAGTTTCGACTCAAGGGTTTAATCTTAAGGTGCGAGAAGAGAAGTCGTAAAAATGTTATTTGAAATAATCTTGTTCTATCAATTACAAGAATTAGTGGCACGGAACATTATTGTGCATGGTTATATACTTGACCGATTTTTATTATAAAAACTCATCCCACTATCATAAATATTGTGCTATTTATCTTATTCTAAGCATTGAGATACTATGTACTACGTACTCATAGTAAATGATTCTAGCGGTTCAAGATAATGAAAGTTTAACACCAATTTATTGATTATTTAAAGTTCTAAGCATTTTAATTTTATCATTCTATCCAATAAGATAAATTTCTCATATAATTAATAGAATCAGGCGTTACTTTACGGAAATCCATTATATAAAAAATTTTAATTTTTTTTTAAATTTACTTCGCAAACATCCGCGCTATAAAATAAAATGATGTGTCTTATCTAGTATGAAGAGCACCTCCCGCCCTCCCTCAATTGCGTACACTATCCCCGTCACCACTAATCTCAGCACCGCTACTCCCAACACCATTACACTAGGCAAGACACACCACTGACGGCAATACGACACGTGTTTCGCCTCTACACGAGGCATCCTCAGGTGATGTAGACTCTACGGTGGCTGACCGTTAAGTTATAATAATTTATGTCATACATTTTTTTCATAATTAAATTTCTCATGTATGGGTGACAAACGAGCACACAGTCTACCTGATGGTAAATAGTTACTGTGATCCATAGACATCTACATCTATCCTCAATAAAGGATCAAAATGCAGATGCGTTGTCACCTGTCCTGACTGGAATGCCTCTTGTCCAGTAAAAAGGGTATCCGGTTCTCTACACTCACCATACGAAATACAGCAGCGTTAAGCTGCTATTTTACGCTGGTACTCTGTGAGAGCGTGGTCCTTCCCCGGTCGAGCTGACCCATTCGTGCTACAACTATATTACTAATATAGCTGCAGCATAACTCTACCACGTTAATTACTAGAGTATGAATTTATGCTATTTTGCTGTAGCTATGATTGGACTGATAACCGATACCTAACTCTCTTTTTTATAAAATTGTAGCGGCAAACGAACTACCAGTTCAGTTATAATAATGTCCTCCAGACCAAATTTCAGACACGTCGGCCAGTCTCAACAGAGACTAGCCATCTGCGCAGCAGGGCTAGCATAGACAGGAGACAATTTTAGTGCTGACTAGCCATCTGCGCAGCAGGGCTAGCATAGACAAGAGACAATTATAGTGCTGACTAGCCATCTGCGCAGCAGGGCTAGCATAGACAGGAGACAATTATAGTGCTGACTAGCCATCTGCGCAGCAGGGCTAGCATAGACAGGAGACAACTTTAGTGCTGACTAGCCATCTGCGCAGCAGGGCTAGCATAGACAGGAGACAATTTTAGTGCTGACTAGCCATCTGCGCAGCAGGGCTAGCATAGACAGGAGACAATTATAGTGCCCGAGTGTATGCTCAAGCACAAATTCACTCGAAACGAGACTTTAAATTAGAGTAGGTGTAGGTTTATTAAGAAAAGACTTTATTCGGTAGTTGGCTCCTTTTCTACCGACTTCAAAAAGGAGGAGGTACTCAATTCGACTATATGTTCTTTTTTATGTGTGTTACCTCATAACCTTTTTTTCGCTTGAACCGATTTCAATTTCTTTTCTTATTTGAAAGCTGGTGCTTCTCATGCGGTTTCCATATAAATTGAATATGGTATGAAATAGGTCTGACCATTAGTTTTTGAGTTATTCTTAATGATTTACATTGAAGTGGGTTGTTCAAAATTTTTAGTTTTAAATTATTCTTCTTTTTTACGAGTATGTAAACGAGAAATCATCCGATGGTAAGTGACTACCACCACTCATAAACAACTTGAACACCAGGGAATTGCAGACGCATTACCGACCTTTTAAGAAAGATTATGCTCTTTTCTCGAAGGCCCCTACGTCGTATCAGCAAAAGTCAAAGTAAAAATTACTGGTGGTAGTCGATTCCTCAAGAAAGTTGTGCAAGGAAGTAAACTTTTTTGAATCGCAGTGGCGGACCGCCAATCATCCAGATGGTATGGAAGGTATCGCAAGTTTTGTCGCAATGTGTGATGGTGAAATAGAGTGGCAGGAATTAGTCCGAACAATTCCTCAGAGCACTCCCTGTGGTAGATGCGATAAAATACGCATAGAGATGCAACATCTCTACGCAGCGCCAGTGGGTCAAACCGATAAGAAAGAAATCTGTCGCCGACGATTCGAACCGCTCTTCGCTGGATGCGGTCAAATGAAAGAAACTGGCATTGGGGTGCTCTTTCCCAGAGGTGAGAGCAGTATTATATGTGAGGCCGAACTTGTGCCTTATAAAGTTCCAAGTAGTGTGCCAGCATGAAATACTGCTCCATTCTACAAGCACGCCGAAGTTTTTTTTATAGGATGTGAGGAATTCCATCCTAGTTCTTAGAAAAGACAACGCATCTGTAATCTTCTTTGATGGATTGCAAGTGGACTGTGGACCCATGGACTGCAATACCTGCTTACGATCGAGTTGATGATAAGTTCAAAACTATGAAAAATTTGAAAAATACATATATATTATTGATATTAGGTATCAACTAGTGTTAACAAAGATACTTATCATAGGATCTATAGGAATGTACAACGTTCTTGGAACTGCTATGAAGCTTTTCACTCGTTTATATCTTAACTCTTTTATCAAAAGGGCTCAATTTTAAGGTGTCGTCAATTTTAAGGAGAATATCTTGAGTCATTAAGTCCACCTTTTGCATTATTTTGTCTTAAGGAATGCAATAAAAAAAAATAAAAAACTTTCATCATAAAAAAGTATTTTGAAGTATGGTATAAGTATACGTAGGTCACTCAATAACTTTTGAGATGCTTGAAATTTAAAAATGGAACGCACCCATGTTATGTTTCTAAAAAGCAAATTTATTTAAAAATAGAACTCCATAAGCCAATTGCTCAGTATTAAAAAAAAAACAAAGTTTTATTAATTTTCCTGCAACGCTTCCCGCGCTTTTCATTTAAAACGATGGATCTTAACCGTGAATATTTGCGCGCTATGATATATTATGATTTTAAATTTGGTTTAACCGAACAATTAAGTTTACAACGGTTACAATCAGCATTAGGGCACTCAGCTCCATCAGGCACAACAATTTTTAGGTAATTTTCTGGATTCAAAAGGGGTAAAATGAATCTTAAAGATGACCAAAGAACAGGGGCCCCGCAAACAGCAGTAACGGCAGAAAATGTATGGACTACTGAAATGTTGGTGCAAGAAGAACCACGAATCACATATACGGACATCGAAAAGATTCTAGGCATTAGTTCGGGGAGCACTCATACCATCCTACATCAACATCTTGGAGTGAGGAAGTTTTGTTGTCGATGGATCCCTCGTTTGCTCTCCGAAAGCGAAAAACAGACTCGTGTGGATTGGTGACATGAAATGCGTCTATGTTTTGAAAACGGCGCATCTTGGCGTGTTTTAGAAATCGTTACTGATGACGAGACATAGATCTATCAATATGATACGGAAAATAAAAAGCAATCATCGGTATGGGTCTACTCAGAAGGACAGTTACCGACAAAACTGCAAAGACCTCGCAACGTTGGCAAAATAATGGTGGCTAGTTTTTTTTCGCGGAGCGGACAT